CCTTTGAAGGCGTAGTGTAGACTACTTTCATTCTACTTTCGTATTTTTCATCGAGATTAGGTTGGTGTTCAATGTACCTTTATCACATTGTAGCATATGTTTCACGACACTTCTGCAAATTGAGCAGAGCTTGTTGTATCAATTTTACCATTACCCCAAATGAGTTCTTCACCAGCTCATTGAACTCCTTACATGATTGCTTGCCTTTCCGAGTAATTCTACTATCTTTTAAACAAACGCTATCAATAATAGCAATGAAATTGTTCACAATATTACTCAAGACATTAATATTATGAAGAATAACGTCCAGACCTCTTGAAGTTTGTCACTTAATCACTCAGACCCCCTGATATTTAAAATATTACACACAGACTCTTTGAACTTTGTACGTGCGTAACACCTAGACCCCTGATGTAAATATATCTGTTAATAAATTATACTTAAACCCCTCTGAAGTTTGTAGGTATATAATATTTGAACCCCTTAAGTTTAAAATGTTATATTTAGACAATAAATACTTTAATCAAAGATAAAATATCAAATATTTTAAATTTTACAATTAAAATTTATGTTCTATTGTATCATTTATTGAAATAAAATCAAAAATAAAAATTAAATTTTTTCATAAAAAATTGTAATTAGTGTACAAATTGTCTATTGGAATTAACGACCAAATTAAAATATCAAACTACCCCAACTAAAGATAAAATATATTATGTCAATTACAGTTTGACTCCTTATTTATTTTTTTTAGTTTTATTCTAATAGATAGTATAATTATATACTAACTATAATTTTTTTTTAAAATCTAGATTTTTATTTTTAATTTTATTTCAATAAATGACATAATAGAACATGAATTTTGGTTATAAAATTCATGTTTTATTATGAATGATTTAGATCCCTTGTTTGATTATTTAGTTTTATTCCAAAAGATAGTATAATTGTATACTATTTACGATTTTTTTAAAAAAAATTAAAATTTTTATTTTTATTTCAATAAATAATACAATAGAACATGAATTTTGATTGTAAAATTTAAAATATTTGATATTCTATCATTGATTGAAGTATTTTTGGTCTAAGTATAATTTTTTAAACTTAAAGGGTCTAAGTATTATATACTTACAAACTTTATAAGGGTTTAAATATAATTTATTAACATATATATTTATCTTAGGAGTCTAAGCGTTATACGCGTACAAACTTTAAGAGGTCTGTATGTAATATTTCAAATATCAAGAAGTCTAAGTGATTAAGTAACAAACCTTAGAGAATTTGAATGTAATTCTCCCTTAATATTATCATACCAATTACCACCCATAAAAATTGCCTCTCTGATGACTTCCAGGGAGTACTCCAAATTCAGCAATTTTTGGAAAGCTTCGATGTACATGACTTCAAGTTTCAAGTACAAAAATCTTTCCAATTGATCTTCAGTGAAATCGTCCCCCATTCACTTCCATCTGCATTCAAATTTAGGTATGGGTATGGATTCTCGAAGCCCACCGAATCGTTGCTTTGTTTCTATAACATTCAGGTTTACATAGTTAAAAACTTTAGATTAATCAAGGTTTGCAGAACACAGGCATAAGAAAGAGATAAACAAACTCAATCAAGGTTCAAGACTCAAATGCAACATAAAGAAACTCACCAGTGAAATGGAAATATAGATGGTTTCTGATGTGGGTTCCACACCAATGTTGTGCTCTTGTAGAGTAGGAAGAAGTAGAGAGAGAGAGAGAGAGGAATCTACAAAAAAAAAAAAACACAGACATAAGAGAACAGAACCAAGCAAAACGAAACCAATCAAGATTCAAGAATGAAAACATTAAAGGCATGTGTGGTGAAACCTATTAGTTCATGGATGAACATTCCATGAATGGCAGGACCTAATCAAATCATGTGGCTTGAGCAGGTTGTACTTAACCCACCCTTAACTCGCCCAGGAGGCTGCCATGTCTTGCTCAATCCGAGTGCCAAAATCTAAAGGGACAGTGGAACCTTTTGGCGAAGTCAATGCCATTTACTGATCACATAGAATTGGGAAGTGTACACTATACTGATCATGTAGCACAAATGTTTATTATTTGACAATTTTTTTCAAGGATTGCCAGACTTTCTTGCAATGCAACTCAAACATTAGCAATTATTTTCCTTTACACCACTTACAATATGTTAGAATCAATCAAAACACATAAAATTGGAGAAATCTCCCTACCACACTCTGATCTTTTCATGTCCAAGAGCAACCATACACTTGTTCTAGAGAAGAGCTTGAATGCATTTACATTCCGACTTTTAGATATTTTCTTATCACTCCTAATGAAGATGATAGCAAACTAGCAAAGCACAATTTCCATTCTTGTTTCCCTTTATTAAATCTCTGAAACCTTCCCTTTTTTACTCTTCTTTCTGATTCATTGTCTTGGAACTACGCCAAAGAATAGTCCAAATACAAAGGGGTAGATGAATAGAGTGCAAGTATTTCAAGACGTACTTCTCTCACAAGGTCACAGCTACTGCAGAAGAAATTCACACATATTCTGTGACATACAGCAGGAAGGATTTGATAGAATGGGATAATTCTTTGAGAATATTACTATTACTGGAGAAGTATTTCACAGATCTATTCTGTCATGAACACAGATCAGTAATGTTTCAAGGGTGATGCATCAAGAGCACATTAGATTCAACATGGGGGCAAGATAGAGATATTTAACCTGTGTCTGATTCTTTGTTCATATTTCATTCACAAGCTCTTTACAATTCAGCAAGAAGATCAAATAATTACATCATCTAACCTTTCTAGCCTCTTCAGTTTTGCTGAAAAGAGTGAAAAAGCTTTCATTCAATCATCTTCCTTCCAAAGATATCGTAGTTTTGTAAAATTCGAAAAAAAAAAATTTATTATTATTATTAAAAAAAAATTCTAATTAAAGGGATAAAATAATAATTAATTGTTAAATTATTTGTCAAAAATGTAAATTTCAAAAAAATAATAATAATAAATTTATAATATATATATATATATAGATAAGTGGAAGACTTGTCTTCCATTTTTTCGAGACAGAGAGTGAGAGAGAGAAAGGTGAGTGTTTATTTTTATTATTTTTCTCTTTTTTTTTTCTCAGATCTACAAAGATTGGACCATTTAATCGTTTCGGGCTAAGAACTAAAGTTGCTCTACTCAGCGAGAGCTACGCAACCACACCAAATATCGTATTTTTCTCCGAAAAAATATCAAAGTCGATAATTTAGGCCAAAAACTTAAGAAGCTAAATTTGAGTTTTCTTGGCGTTTTAGTAAATGGGCTCACGCTACAAGAGGTAGGGTTTCCCCTATTTAGATTTAATTTAAACTTAAAAATATGGCATATAGAATGAATAGACTATGAGTATATATCACATGTTAGATCTTGACTAGTGTGACTAGTGGGTCAAATATAAGATTTATAATTAACCTTGCGATTAATAAAATTCTATTGTGATTAACTTTGTGTAAGTTAATGTTAGTGGTTTAAAGCATGTTAATTGTATATTAGCATTACTTTATATTTTAATGGCAAATCAAGTTTAATAAAATTATTAACTTGTTATGTGATTATGAAATAATATGTATGTTAAACGATTATTTAACATATAATTATTTTGGTGGACTTGTGCTTATGTTTATATAATTAATAAACATGTTGTCATGTTGCAAGTCATAGCATGTTAGTTGTGTAAATTGATGTGCTCTTTAGGTGTTTGATTAAATGCCTAGGTGAATACAAGTATGTTAATTGAGTTGATTATCTTACATAACATGCTTGAGATCGTGTTAAAATGTCATTATATTGTATTCATTATGTAATGGACATTGTATTGCATTATACATGGGTTGCACCACATTCATGGGCATTGACATTGGTGGGAGTGTATGCATGGTATGAAATCAATCACCACGTAGGTGGTTGATCGTGGACTCGAAAAAATCGCACCAAGGTTCGGCTGAGTCGCAAGACAAATTAAATGGATAAATGTGTTGGGGACAGCAAGAAGGGCTAGATTTTCCCTTGGGTGCAAGACCCGCTTACTTGGTTTATACACTTTCCGACGGTGAAATTCCAGAAAAGTGTAACGGTGGAATGGAGTCGCAGGTGGGATGTCCTGAAGATCCATTGATAGTTGGTGTCCCATTGGTGTAATACCATAAATCACCTCCCCACAAAGACACAAGAAAATGAATTAATTAGTCATTGAGTGTACATAACACCAATGATGGGAGCTTGGAATGCCCGGATACATACGCATGACATTGCATGTGTTATAGGAGCTCAGGATGTGGCTCGGGGTTAGTATTGCTTGTGTGAGTCTCATCTCATGACATGACATGATTTATGACATTTAATCATAATAAACATATTTGAATGATTGTTGCATGTGACATTCCATATGCATTTAAGTTGAGAAGTATTCTCTATAGGAGTTACTCTATTGAGCGTTGACTCACCCTTTATGGGAATATTTTTCAGGTGTCGCACAGGTGTCCACCGAAGGCGAGGCCATGGGCCCGCTTTAACGACAGAGCCAGTCTGTGACTCTTATTTTGACATTGTAGTCCCTTGTTTATACTTACTTTTGGTCTTGTATAATTTTTGTAACAAACATTTGTTTATATTTACAAAGGCATGTATATGAGACTCTTTTGGAACATTTATTCTTTTACGAATAAATGTATGTACTGATGATGATTATGGTAGTATTTGAGACTATACAATTGTGAATAGATGGATAGACCTGGTGTGGTCAATATTGTACAAGTTATTTTTTTTTGGTAGAGCTCCTCGTACAAAAGAGACTTTGCCCAAATTTTGTTAAGTTATAGATCCCGAGAAATGGGACATAACGGTGTGATATCGAATTACACGATATTCACCAGTATTTCGCGAGTCGATGGATAATCAATCGGATAATTACAAACACCCGAATTTTGGGTTGTCACAAGTTTTCTTTTCCTTATTGGCCTGTATTTCCATGCTTATTGACAGTTTTGAGAGCATTTGCGTCCTCCCTCGTGATCACTATTTCCATGTGTTCTTCATGGAACTCCTTGAAATGTGCAACTTTTCCCAATTCTTCCACCTCTTCTATCACAAGGTCAAGTCGTGCCACTGTCTCCAGTAGCACTGAAACAAAAGCAGCAATTGCAAGTGTCTCTGAAAAATCAAGACAAGTGTTCATGATCTTATTCGGTGTTGTATTAGTGACCATCCCATCTACATTCATAACCTGTTCTGGACTCAAGCTCTGCCATCCAAGTAACTCCAGAGGCTTGCCAGCTTCAGTTTTTTGGACTGGATTGGAGGCAAGGAACATCTGTGGTTGGGTCTTAATTAAAGTATCAAGTTCTTCCAAAGCTTCATGAAGGTGATCCGATATGTGAGGTGAACAATGGTGATGGTTTTTTATGGCTTCTGCAAGCTCTGTAAGAACTTTTACCACTTCTTCTGCAACATGTTCACATGGTTCTCTGAATAAAGCTCGGACAGATGAAGGAACCTGAAACATCCAACAATGCCAAACAAATTGTAGATCGACAATCTCAATTTGAACTCAACTTATCTTGAGGAATGAAAAGTTGGGTTCTCTTATGGATACTGAAGCCAATTCCCTAGACTTGCATGATTCCAAGTCAAAAAAGATTATAAGTAAAAGAAGAGGAAAAAATGCTAGAAAGTAGGACTTGGAAACAATCTGATAAGTTGGGGGTGCGGGGGCAACGCCCCCGCGGTACGGTACAGGGGTATTTTTGTAAATACGTCCATATTAGGGTTATATAAATACTTAAGATGTAACCTTACTTCAATAAGGAAAAGAACAGCCGCTCGCTCTCGTGGATGTAGGCACATTGCCGAACCACGTAAATCTCTGTGTGTTATTTTCTCCTGCTTTCTTAATGTGCTACTAGTGCCAACACTGTCCTGATGGAAGTGTGTCTGACCACGGGGGAGAAGATCTCATCATAGTCAACCCCTTTTCTCTGTGAGTAACCCTTTGCTACTAGACGAGCCTTGAATTTTTCTCCCTCATTTTCTGATACTGCTTCTTTCTTCTTATACACCCATTTGCACCCTATTGCTCTCTTCCCCTCGGGAAGTTCCACCAACTCCCACGTCTGGTTCTTATGCAGAGACTCCATCTCCTCCACCATAGCACCCATCCATCTACTTTTCTCTTGGCTTTGTACTGCCTCCTGAAAAGTTGTAGGATCCCCGCTACTAGTAATAAGCGCATAAGAAACCAAATCTTCAAAACCATACCTGGTAGGTGGCTTGATATTGCGTTTGGGCCTGTCTGTGGCTATATTATGATGCTGTTGATCATCCGAGATAGAACGCTCTACATGCTGAGCATCCTCTTCTCTACCATGATTCTCTAGCTCCACCTGCACCACGTGGTCATTAGTGCTACAGTTTTCTGGTACTTGTTTCTCTTCTTCCTGAGTACGCTGCAACATGGCTTTTTCATCAAAAACCACATCTCTACTGATCACCATCTTGTTTGCCTTCGGATCCCAGAGCTTGAAGCCTTTCACTCCTTTCTGATATCCCAGAAAGATACACTGTCTAGACTTCGCATCAAGCTTCGACCTCTCCTCACTAGAAACATGTACATAGGCTGGACATCCAAACACTCTCAAACCAGAGTAGTCTACCTCACTGTCTGTCCACACCTCCTCTGATACTTTCCCATCTAGTGCTGCCCTCGGTGATCTGTTAATCAAGAAACATGTCATATTCACTGCCTCTGCCCAAAAATTCTTTGCAAGCCCTGCATTCAACCTGAGACACCGAGCTTTCTCGACTATCGTTCTGTTCATCCTTTCCGCTACACCATTTTGTTGTGGTGTCTTGCGGACTGTGAAGTGTCTCTTGATCCCATGCTGCTCACACAACTCTTGGAACTTTGAATCTGTGTACTCAGTACCATTATCTGACCTGAGGCATTTAATCTTCTTCCCTGTCTGGTTCTCTACTTCAGCTTTCCACAGCTTGAACTTGGCAAACGCTTCTGACTTGTGCCGCATGAAGTACACCCAGACCTTTCGTGAGTAATCATCAATGAAGCTCACGAAATACATGTATCCTCCCCGTGATAGTACGCTGACTGGTCCCCAAACATCTGTATGGACATAGTCGAGAACCCCCTCTGTCTTGTGTGTGGCTGTCTTGAACTGCACCCTATTCTGTTTTCCAAGAACACAATATTTGCAAAAATTGAGCTTGCATGTCTTGACACCCTTCAATAGATTTTTCTTATGAAGCTCTATCATCTCACGCTCACTCATATGACCCAGCCGCATATGCCACAAGACTGTATTATCTGATTCAGACTCTATAGCAGCAACTCCACCTACAATTGTAGTACCCAGCAGTCTGTAAATGTTTCCTACTACTTTCTGTCCCTTCATCACTGTCAGCATGCCTTTACTTACTTTCATTACTCCACTTATAGATTTGTAACTATAACCATTACAATCCAAAGTGCCCAATGAAATCAAATTCTTCCTTAGATCCGGTACATGTCTAACATCACACAACGTTCTAACCATACCATCAAACATTTTAATTCTAATATTTCCTATTCCAACAACTTTGCAAGATGCATCATTACCCATCAGAACAGAACCAGAATTTACTGATCTGTAGGTGTCAAACCAATCTTTGTTGGGTGTCATGTGATAGGAACATGCTGAATCCATAATCCAAGAATCTGTTAAACAATCTGAACTAGATAAAACAGAAAGCATATCTCCGTCACCACTCTCTGAATCTTCTTCTTCCACTACGTTTGCAGACTTTGATGCACCCTCTTTGTTCTCTGAATCCCCTTCCTTTTTCTCTGGACAGTCCCGTTTAAAGTGCCCCTTTTTCCCGCACTTGTAACACGAGACAGAGACGTCCTTCTTCTTCTTCCTCGACTTGGACCGGGCTTTATTGTTACCCGATCCATTCCGAGATTTGCTTCTTCCACGTTCCTGGTTACCTTTCACCACAAGCCCTTCACCTTGTGAAGCCTCATCACTGACTTTCTTCCGCTGATGAAAACCTAACAGAGCACCTGTGACATCCTCCAATTCGAGGGTTTCTTTCCCCCACATCAGAGTCGTAACCAAATTCTCGTACGTAGGAGACGCCGGTAAGGAATTCAGCAACATCAGCGCCTTGTCTTCGTCTTCGAACTTCACATCAACTCGCTTCAGATCGCTGATGATCTGATTGAACACGTTGATGTGTTGGGTCAAATCCGAGCCCTCTGACATCTTAAGACCATATAGTTTCTGCTTAAGATAGAGCTTGTTCGTCAACGACTTGGACATATACCGACTTTCCAGTTTCAACCAAACTTCCGCCGGTGATTCCTCATCCATGACGTGATACATCACTTCATCAGCCAGACAAAGCCTAATAGTCGTCACAGCCTTCGCTTCCAATTCTTTCCAATCCATGTCGTCCATTCCTGCCGGTTGTTTTCCGTATAATGCCTTCACCATGCCCTGCTGCACTAACAGGTCCTTCACCCTCCTCTGCCATAATCCAAAATTCCCAGTTCCGTCGAACTTCATGATGTCGAATTTTGTAGAGGAAATCCCAGACATCGTAGTCAAGCTCTGATACCAATTGTTGTGATCGTGCAGCAATTATGGTGAATAGTAAGGAATCAAACAATTAAGAAAGCAGGAGAAAATAACACACAGAGATTTACGTGGTTCGGCAATGTGCCTACATCCACGAGAGCGAGCGGCTGTTCTTTTCCTTATTGAAGTAAGGTTACATCTGCCTTGTGGGATTTATATATAGGGGACGCTGATAAGTTGGGGGTGCGGGGGCAACGCCCCCGCGGTACGGTACAGGGGTATTTTTGTAAATACGTCCATATTAGAGTTATATAAATACTTAAGATGTAACCTTACTTCAATAAGGAAAAGAACAGCCGCTCGCTCTCGTGGATGTAGGCACATTGCCGAACCACGTAAATCTCTGTGTGTTATTTTCTCCTACTTTCTTAATTGTTTGATTCCTTACTATTCACCATAATTGTTGCACGATCACAACACAATCTGTAATGCAGAAGATATGTTGATCTTGGAAAACCCTAGCGACTCTGTAAGTATCAAAAAAGGAAGACTGCATATGATTAGGCCCGACCCACATTCTCTGTCATCAAATATCAACCTTACCATACTATCACCACTGTTTTCACCAACCAGATGATGGGACTGTCAGAACATTTTATGATGCTCCAGTTTAATAAATGATAATCCTGGCTGATAACAATCACATGAAATTTTATAAACAGCCCATACAGCTTCATTTCCCTCTTCTGTTTTGTTACATCTATCAACCACACATGTTGGTCTAAAGTAAGTAGGTAACTTTCATTTAACTGCCACTCTTCCACCTTGACAAGAAAATGAAGTGAAAACATTTGGTAAAAAGAACAAAATATCTTTGTTTGGTTATTGAGAAAGCTGACTATGATAAACAACATTTGGGCTTTGAATTTGTTGCAAGAAATTTTGCATTGGTCTTTGTTTCCTCTTCTCTGCAGCAATTAACAGCGCAGTAGTCTTGATAAAGACACCCTTTTACTACTACTGAAACAAATTTATTTAGTTAAGGTGTTGGAAAATGTCGCTTTGGTGAACGAGAAGCTAGTAAACGCATAGAAGCCAATAAAAGAATCAATAGGATGTAAGTTTTCTAAAACCATGCAGTCTCCTCTGAAACCATCATTCTACAAGAAATTCAGTGCTTTCTAGATAAACAAAAAATGCCCTAAACTTGCACTAAAGTTTTTGAAAATTTTGTACATTGTGTAAGTATATACCTGAATATGAGGTTCCAGACAACCATGGAGAGCATCGGCAGTGTATCCCAGATGTCGAAGACCAACTCCTAGATGCTCATATTGTTTCCATGGATAACAATATCTTGAATGCCGAAGCTCCCAGCACGAATATGTAGCCTGCTTAATTTAACTTGTCATCATATTATTCAACAATAAATCATAATTTTGCTGCTTGTGGATGATTAAAGTTCATATATATGGCTAACTTATGACTTCGTAAAGGTAACACATACCAAGGCTTCCTCCGCAGAATTGCTCTGCAAAACTTCCTCATATCTGTTGTGCGAGGAAGAACCTGTGGAAGATTTGCTTGTATCTGTTGCATCTAGTTCTTGAAAATACTCATCTACACATGCTGCAAGGATTACAGAGTTTCAACTGATTCTTGTAGGAATTGGTAACGGGACAATCCTGACTATTATTTTTTCAATCGTGATAATTTGAAACTCCTAAATTGTATAACTAAAACCCCACTTGCTTCGTTAAGTGCTTGTATAAATCTTTCTGTTAACATCTATCCACTAAGCCCTTCATTTTCAAACCACAACCCAACCAAATTACCCCTCCACCCACACCAACACCCCCCCCCCCCCCCCCTCTTTCTCCAAAAAAAAATAAGAAAGAAAAATAAAAAAAGGGAAAAAGGTGTTTTGGTTTGACTTAGTAATGTTCAATATCAAATCAATGAAACTTGAAGGGTATGCCAGTGTAGTTATGGGCCAATACCTGAGTCATGTGGTCTTAGCAGGAAGCATGCAACTTAAACATCCAACCCTGTAAACTTTAGAGCCATACAATTCTCTAAACCATCAAGTATATAAAAAATGCACAAAATGGAAAGTGGAGTTTCTCGCATGTATCATTAAACTGAAGGTTTTGATATGCAGAACTGCACTTAATCAGGTTCAGATGAGTTAATTTGGGTTGGATGGGGGTAGTAGTATAATTGACATAATTAGGAAATAGCCATGGAAATTAGTAGGTCTTTGCTGACAGGAAGAAAAATGAGCAATCATAAACTACGGTGGAGAAGGATTGGATTCAAGATGGCTTAATGGCATTAGCACACTAGCACCATATTTCATGACGTCCCAAACACATTTGACATCACAGGTGGTGTTGTCAGGATCCATTTGATATGGCTAAGGCTGTGAGGTTCTCTGGTAGATTAGTAGTCTACAGTGTCGAAGGCATTATAACACTAGTAATAATTGCTGGAATTGTATGAATGGGGCAGAAATTGGTCAGTTTGTTAGAGTATGTGTGACTCATATTTGCTGTGTGCATAATGACAAGGAGGCAGATGCCGGAGCGGGTGGAGCCCACGACGGCATCTGTCTTGCGAGATTTATATAAAGGAGACGCTAATTAGTTTGGGATGCGGGGTCAACGCCCCCGCGGTACGGTACAGGAATATTTTTATAAATACGTTCATATTAGGGTTATATAAATACTTAAGATGTAACCCTACTTCAATTATGGAAAAGAACGACCGCTCGCTCTCGTGGATGTAGGCACATTGCCGAACCACGTAAATCTCTGTGTGTTATTTTCTCCTGTTTTCTTAATTGTTTGATTCTTTACTATTCACCATAATTGTTGCACGATCACAACAGAGTTCAATTCTGGTCTCTGTCAATGAGGAAAAATAAAATAGTAGCCCGCAACAATCTTATTTGTTCTCTCTAAAACGAGATAGAGTTGCTTCTTACCATTGTGGCAGGGTGCTTTTCTCTGGCCTTTTTACATCCCCCATCTATTTCACCCCACCTCTCCTATACCTTCTGAAGAAACAGAGACAAAAGAAGATACACTCTTCTCCTCCCAGAGAAGTTATATGCCATTCTAAGTTACATAAAATAATAAATATAAGGAAACAAATAGCGAATAACCAGAAAGTGTGATGCATAAAAAATCATCTTAATAGTGTTGAAGACAACGAAATTGGAGCTGTATAGCCTTGATTTGTTATTATTTATTGTTTTGTATGTAAAGGGTCACCAATTTTGACATAATGGCATTCAATGACTTTGAATTTATCCACTTAAACATTGGACTATTAGGAAGAAAAAAAAAACGAGTACCACAAATGGTTTGCATTAGACAACCTAGAGTGTTACATAAGATGACATGGACGACAAGATTAAATAGCATACCTTGTACCAATTTAGCCAACTCTTCAAATTTTGAAATGATAGTATTCTGGAGGTCTTCACCCAACCAGTTGGGAAGAATAAAGAGGCTTATGACGAGACCTATGCCACATCCAATGGCAATAGCATAGATTCGCTCTGTTACCATATGGAATTGATTGTGATCATGATAAGATCCCACCATGAGAAACAAAATTATCCCATGGTCATAATGCCTTTTGATTGAAGGGATGAACCTCGCATACGTTGCAAATGAACCTGCCAAACTTGTAAAACAGTCAATATAATGCCCTCAATTTAAAATTTTTTTTTTTTTGATCCCTTATACGAGGTTTGCTGATCTGAATAAAGTGTAAAATATTCCACAAGTATCCTATTCTTGCATGTTTGAAGCATAATCATGTATTCCTTTGTTTGCAAGAACCATACAAAAAAAAAATAAATAAAGCAAAACAATGTCCTGTATCTTATCCCATCTCTTCTTCTTATTGTGAGAAGCCATTTTCTAAATATTAGTTACTTGACTTTCAGTGTTAAATTGTCCAAGTTGACTAGCATCACTAAACTTCTCACTTTGTTTTTATATTCTGCTGCGAGAAACCAGCCACTGCGGTATTACTACAACAAATATGCAATGCATGGAGAAATGACTGTAATAGTACACCTTACATAAGCGAAATGAGTAGAGAAAATAATGGCCCCTGACCATGAATCCGTAATAAGAATGAAGGACCTTACATCCACAGAAACTGTCTTTTGTCAATTGACTCGGCCATGAAAGTAGACGTTATAAAAACAACCGCTGAAAAACAGATTTTAATAACAGGAAATTTAGAAGCAAAATGAAACTGAGTAAGGAGAATATGGATATGGGATTCAGAATGCTCACCAATAAGGAAAACTGCAAAGCCGCTACTAATGGCACATTCAATGGCCTAGATGGCGAGCAATGATCTCAAACAGAAATGCAAAACTCAAGGCCACCACTGTCCCCATTAGCCTGTTGAATCCTTTATACAAGGTGGCTCCTGAATCAACACCATCAGTGAGTAAATCCACTCATGTCAAGTGAGCTGCAATGCAAGGCTGCTAAAGCCCGAGGCCCTGAGCTTTGAGCTTTAGGCCCACATTTTAGGAAGGCCCCAAAATTTTAAAATGGAAAAATTGGAAGGAGGTACACTAAATTAGACTTATCTGTAAAAAAATACATAGAAAAAAATGTTGGGTAATTAAGTCTTTAATTTTGATATTTATTTGTATCTAAGTACATTATTTGAATTTTACTAATTTTTTTGTGATATTTTTGCCCTCCATTAATTCATGTGTATTTAATGCACCACTTTTCTTTGGAAGGTGGTGCATTAAACATCTCCTAATTTTATGGGAGAACTTTAATACACACACACACACATATATGTATGTATTATGTATATATAAAAATGTATATATATATTTGTTTGAATTTTAAAATTTGTATTTATGTATATATAAAAATGTATATGTATATAAATTATATTTTAATGTATATTGATTCATTTTGAATTATCTTTTAATGCACCTTGATTCATGCATTTTTTTTTTTGAAAAAGTGATTTTATTTTTAAATTAATTTAATATCCGAATAGTATAATAGTGTAATAATAAAAGTGTAACAGTATAACACTAACAGTGTAACAAAATATTGTACTATTACATTTTGTTAAACATATAGTTTCATTAAAAATAGTTCATATTCCTTTTGAATTTATTACCACATACACAAAACTATTGAACACTATTTTTGTTACTGTGTATTTGTTACACAGTTACACTGTTATGTTACACTATTACATTATTTGGATATTAAATTAATTTAAAAATAAAATTATTTTCCAAAAAAAAAAAAACGCTTGAATCAAGGTGTATTAAATATAATTTGAAAATAAAATCACTTTCTAAAAAAAAACACATGAATCAAGGTGCATTAAAAATAATTTAAAATTTAGATAAGAGATTTAACAAGTATATATATATATATATATATATTGCATTAAATTATTTATACGAATATATAAACAAGTGTATATATATACATGTATTAACAAATACACATGAATCAAGATACATTAAAGATAAGAGATTTTGAATTAAATGACCCTAAAATAGACATTTATGTTTTTATAACTCTGTTGTATACTTTTTTTCAAAATATTTTGTTCTATGTATTTTTTGTCAAATAAGTTTATTTAGGTGTACCGACTTTCAAAAAACCCTTTTAAAATATGCCACTAGTTTATAAAAAAATTTTATTCATAAAATATTTAGGCCCCAAAAAAAAGGGCTATAAAAATATAAGTCCAATTAAAAGTTTTAAAGCCAGTACATCAGGCCCATAATTAAAGCCAATACTTTCAAAGCCCCAAAATTAAAAGTTAAAACAAAAAAAGAAAATTTAACGTTGAAGGAATTGTCAACTTATTTTTCCTGCCATGCACACTTTTTTTACCGACACACTTTAACCACTGACGCACTCTCTCTTTCCTCCTACCCCCAAAAACCATAAGGCTATCATCAACTCCTTCCCTCCCCTCTTTTTTCTCTCTCTGCTTCTCATGAGGCCTTCATCAGTCCATCTTCTTCTTCTCTATTTTCTGTTTCTCTCTTCTCACTTTGGCCAACACACACTCAAGCAACAAGCCAACAAATTCATTTGGGTCATTGACTCTTTATATGGTCTGTCGTGGATAGCAAAAAGTGAACAAAACAAAGTGAAATCTCAAAGAGGCTATTTTGTGAACAACATCACAGATTCTATTGTTCTATAACTCTATTTTTTTTTTTTTTTATAGTTCTATTATATGTTTTAAATATAGATTGTTTGATTATTTGTATTTATTTGATTCATTGATAACATAGTAATAGTAATAATTGTAATATGTCATCTATAATAAGAATACAAATATCCGGATACAAAAAATTAAAAAAGAAAAGAAAAGGAAAGGAAATGGTGCAAACTATTGATGGTTTAAATTTTTTTTCAAAACTATAAGTGTTGAAAGAAATTCTACAAACAAAAGAAAACACCTTAATTGAGATACTAACTTACATAAAAAAAAGTTAAATTCTTTTTCAAATGCATGTATTACTTACATGCTATTATTAACAATTCATGGAGAAAGTTATTTCTGCAAAAAGAAACTTTTTAAAATTAAAATTGATAAAATCTTAGTTAAAGTCGACTATTGTCCCAAAAAAGATTAACTACATTAGTAATACTATCAATTTTAAAGATATGGTAGCAAAATTTGAATATAAAAAATTAATTAGTAATTTTGCAACTCAAAAAATAAGAAATTTTAATTTTAATTAAAAAAATTTAATACTAAAAATAAAAAGACCTTATTTAGAAATACCGTCTTAAGCTCCAAAAGTACCTTGAGCCATCCCTATACCCTTTGTATGTAATGTATTAGTCCCAACTTCATCCAAAGATGTGATTGTTTCATGAACATATTGAAAAAACAGGATCTTATAATTCCCTTTTTGGTGTATACCAAACTTAAGTAGGTTCTAATATTCACTACTCTCAATACACGAATCTGTAAAATAGGCAAGAAAAAACCTATGAGAATAGGCTTTTTATAGTGTTTGATTAATTTTGAAATGGGTATTACAAAATCTCACAAATTTCCCAAATTAATACCCTGTCAGAAACTTATACGTACCTGCTCTGAATTCGACGATAAGTGTGACAGTGAGGACCGCCCAAATGGAGTTCTGACGAATCCCCTCATACAATGGCTCCAACAGGTACACCAATGAAGCTACGGTCATTGCGACACCAACTTTCAGCGAATGCACCACCTTTCTTGGATCTTTTTTCCCACACCGCCTTTCCGATCTTTCTCGCCTCCCGCAACCATCTCTCCCCCCATTTTTCGCCGACCTGTGGTGGCTCCGCCTTGTTAGGGTTTTTAGGCATCTCCATTACCATGCACGTTGGTAAAGAAACCGTACAAAGATTTCCTGGTACGTGATTGATCAGACTGGTTTATGTATGTTCTTACTATGTGATCATGTCGAGTATATATAGGCAATAAAAAATTACATTTGAACTGCTTAAATTATGGCAATTGTTTCATGTTATTCCCTAAATTAACATTTTTTTTTCACGATTAGTACTAGACGAACAAAAAAACAAAAGGGACTAAAAATAGGAACTAAATGACATGACACTACAATATCCCATATCAGCTATCACATCATTTGACTCTAAATTTTGTGTCCCTTTCTTTTATCGGTATAATATTACACTTTTCTAATTTTTAGGGGTGATTCAATAATTGAGTCTAACCGTTGATAAATCAGAACTATAAGTCTCAAGTTCAATCTCTTTCCACACCCTCTAAGAGCTAATTACTCTTATTCCTTTAAGGATATACTCTAACCCACCTTAAATTACGATGATCAATCACTAAACTCGAGTAAATAGTCAGCGCAAGTTTGGACTCCATATAGCTTAAAAAAAACATTATACCTTCCTCACATTGGACCTTAAAATATTAAACTATTTTAGTTTCAATTTTACATTGCCCCAATCATTGATTTTTTAATCTAATTTTTCATGAAAAATTATGGCAAAATAAAATCGCATAATGCTAGGAGATATGATTTTTTTTCCTTTTTAGTTAGGTTGAATTTAATTTATTTTGAAGTTAATAATTGAGATAATGTGAAAATTAAATTAATAATTTAAGATATAATATAAAGAATAAATTACTTAAAAGATAATATAAAACGAGAGATATAGTTTAAGTTAAGGGAGCCTAAGCATAATTTGCGCAATAAGCAAACAGGTAGGGGACGACAGACAGGCGCAGTTGTGGAGTTTCCGCGTTTTGTACTTTGAATTTCTGGAGTATTTGAAATCTGGTATGTTGTACTTGCACAATCCAAAGTCAAATCGAACTTGGTGATCCAGTGGCAAGATAGTATTTCATAAGAATTTTTCTTGTACTAATTATTATAATTTGATTCGTAAAAAAATAGAATGTTGACTTGTTTTTAGTGATTTGATGGAATTAATGTGAAGCTATGACTCTAGTCATCTTTAGGAAACGTTTACGGAACCCACCATCAAGGCCCTTTTAGAGGACAATAGGTTCGAGCTATTATTGTTATGCGTAGGTAGAGTTTTCATGTTGATCGGCCCCACACAACCTTTTTTTCACAAATAAAAAAATTACACTTAATGACTATGAACCAAGCGAACTTGTTTTGTAGACAAGACTGTTGTATAAAATGCTTTGGATGAAGCCGGGCCCCAATTCCCTTAATCCCAATATCTAATTTTGTCATGTTGACGTATAGTCCATCTTCAACAATGACTAATCCCAATATAAGGATGGCTCAGATTTAGTCTCACTTATACCCGTCAATGACTCCCATTTAAAAATTCTAATTTAAATATAATTAAAATATTTGTTGGATTTTATTTTTACAATCTATATCCAAATTCATTTAATAAGAAAAATATTTAATCAGATTTAACTAACTAAATTAACATGAATTTTAGCAAATTCTATTTAAATTCAACTCTACTTCATTAAATAACCATACAAATCAAAAGATACTTGTCTATATAATCAAGTACAAAAATTGAAGATATAAAAAATAATTTTTTTGTGTGGTTGAGATCGTTTTAAATTTTACTTTAAAATTAATCTAACGATTAACATTAACTCTCCAAATTTAATAGAGAAAATAGGTCACCTAAAGGATGTATTTGGAGTATTTTTTTTCAAAAGTGTTTCTTAGACTTATGAATTCTAATAAGTATTTTAAAATAAATAAAAAATAGTGTGTGAAATAATTTATTTTAATTATTTTCAAATATCTGATAAAAATTTTTTTTTCAAATAAATCAGAAGTAGTTTTACCACTTAAATAAGTAAGTAAAAATTTTAAAAAAAAATTCTACATCTTTAAAATTACTTCTTTACAAAACACTTCACTATCAGGTCCACCGCCATCCCATCACCACCCCACCACAACTACTATCGTCTCCGCCACCACCATCACTGCCCCACAAACTACCCCTACACAATCACCACCACTGTTGCCACCCCCTACCATCACCTATGTCACAACTACCACCACTCTCACTATTGCTCTACCACCCCACTACCCCCCATTGCCCCATCATTGCCATCGTTGTGGCCACCCCACCACCATCACGATCGTCATTGCCACTCTATTATCACCTCTACCACTACTAAGACTGTAAATATTCGACGCGACACGATTAACCGACACAAATTAAGAGGGTTTAGGTAAGATCTTAACGGGGTTGACACACCAAACACGTTAATAAACGGGTTGTGTTCGGGTGAGATCTGTCAAACCGTTTATCACACGTTTACCTGTTTAAATAAAATTAATATAATAATAAATTAATAATTATTTTAAAAAATTAGTAAGAAAAAAAAGTGAAGAAATCAGTAAAAAAAAAAAGTAAAGTAGTAGTTCAAAGACAAATGAGAGGAGATTAGGAACACTTCAAAGACATGCAAATCAACGTCTTTTGTTTTTGTCCCATATTGAAAAATGAGGAGAGATGGGGAAAGTTGAGTTGCTTATAAAAAGCAATGACCTCTTGTTTTTTTTTAAGCCTTCAAGTTTTATTTTTATGAGATTTGACTAAAAATTTCTCTTTTTTGAGGTAAGTGCAATTGTGAGTAAAAAAAATAGAGTATTAAAATTTATTAATATAATTTTTTTAAAATTAAACGAGTTAAACGAGTCGAGTCGTATCGTGTTACCCGCTTATTAAACGGGTTATGTTTGTGTTGAGATTTTTTTTTCTGTTTATTAAACGTATCGTGTATGAGTTTATATGTTTTTTACCCGTCACTCGTTTAACCTGACACGTAACTATTTAATTCGATACGATTGACACCCTTAACCGCCACCACCATAATTACCATCGTCATCGACACCACCACTACTACCACCATCATCACTCGTTACCATTGTCCACCGTCACCAACCATCATCATTATCTTATTCTTATATTTATTATTACTATCACCATCTTCTCACCACCACTGTCGTCCATTACCACCACCATCGTCGTCACTGCCAACACTACCAACCACCATCACTGTTGCCTACCACCACCATCGTCATCGTCCATGGTTACCACTACCACCATCACCGTTGCCACCCACAGCTGTCACTACTACCATGATTGTCACCGCCCACTACAAAACATAATAATTTTCCACCACTATTACTCGCTCTCATTACAATTGGTGCTTAAATTCTTTTATCTATTTTTTATGTTTATAATTTAATTTTTGGTATGAATACAAATTTTTTTATGATCAACAATTTCCTTATTACTTCGTATCTTCAAACACGTGACAATAACCAGTAAATAACTATATTAGCAAGAACCTCATGTCTGAAGACACTATAAAGTATATAAAAAATTGAAATAATCTTGTAATATTTGTATTTTAAATAATAATTTAATTTTTTAATTAGGCAATTTAAAATTAAAATGAATATAGACATAAGTGTAGATTAACGAGATTGTTTAACATTTGTGGAGTGTGTTAATTGGGTTGTCTGACGTTGAGGGTCGTGTAGAGAAGTTTATATTTTTGGGCCGGAAATTTTTTTTCCTAGATGTATCTTTTATCATTGGAACAAAGTAGATGAAAATTGAATCAATTTTATTAATTGTTGTGTTTTTTATAAATTGAGAATTTAATTTTCTATTGTAATATTAAATAGTTATATAATATTTGAATAATTGAATTTCAACAAATATTTAAATTTATTTTATAATCAATCAAATCCTCATTTATTTGTAATACAACAATGCTATGGTGACCAAATTTATGCACCAAATGATGTGGGCTGTTAGATTGGTGGATTCCACCGACACCCACAACACATCCAATAAAAATGATGTTGCCACATCATTTGGTCACCAAAGTATTTTTGTTTACAATAACTATCTATATAGCATTTGAATTGAGTAAAATATTAATATATTTATATTTAAATTTGTGAAATATAATATTATAATTTGGTACAAATTTAAATTATTAGTCAAAAATACTTGTTCATATCTACCTATATGAAATCGTATTCGGATTAAATTCGATAAATTTATAGACATAATAGTCTCACCTATAACGCACGCCAAAGTAGAAAACAAAAATGTTTGGTAGATGTGTGAACTACTGTGGCCATTTTTTGAAGCCTGGTCTGTCAAGCGGAAAGACTGAAAATTATTAAAGAAAATGAAACAAAATGCTTGCTTGCACCTTTTGCCTTTTGCCTTTTACTTTTACCTTTTCCTTTTCATTTTCAATCGTTATCTGGATAATCTATACAATAAAATATAATATAATTTTAATTTTAAAAGATAAGTAAAATAATTTTATATTTTCATAATTTAGATTGGTTAAATTTTATTTTAAAGTTAATAAAACGGCTAATATTAACACCTTAAATTTAATAAATAAAATAGATATCTAAAATATATTTGAAGTGACTTTTTAAAAGTATTTTTAAAATTTATAACATCTCATAAGTATTTTTTTTAAAAAAATAGTATTTGAAATTGCCCTACCACCACCACTACCACCGCCGTCGCCGCCACGCCATCCCTACCTCCGTCGTCGTCGCCATCGCCATCGCCACCTCCACCCTCACCACCACTGCCCTATCGCCACCAACCACCGATTGCTACAACCGTCGTCCACCGTTATTACCTACTACCATTGTTATCTCATTCCTACATTTATTACCACTATTAT